AGTAAAATGGCCTCGGGGGGGGGGGGAGGGAGAGATGCATGCTCGGTTTGCTTCGCCCGAAAATGCATTGCCTTGCCATGAGTTGCCTCTGTTTGCACTCGCGGTGATCTCAGGACATCATATGAACTTCCAGATTGGATCTGCCCTAACACATGAACACTTTGGACAATTTCTCATGCAGGTGGCTAGTCGGCCACCTCAACTAGTCGGTAGGCTACCTCAACTGGCCGGCTGGCCAGTGCAAGTGGTCAGTAAGCTAGTGCAAGTGGCTGGCCGGCCACTTCTCTTTCCAGAATTCTACCTTTGCTGCAACAAAGAGCAACAGAGCCAAGACAATGTATTTGGCAGGGAATGTGTGTACTACCACCCTCCTCATCATGTCTCAAGCTCAAAGGAGTGTGGTACTTGGCTTTCAAGCCACCAATCAAGCATCGCAATGCATGATGGCCGAAGAACGGAGCTTATACAAGTTTAGTGAATGCACAAACAATACACAAAGAGCCTCCACCTTATCATGCATGATCAAGGGTGTTGGTGACCAAGAAATGTGACACATTTCATCACTATGAGTATGAAACGTCTCACATTTCTTGTGTTTGGATTAACGTCCAATCCAAACACATGCAATGCAACACATATATGTTATCTTGACATGTTTTACTTTACTCAATTCTTGTTTACTCATTTTACATTACCAAACCATTCTTTACTTGATTAAGTCCAATGTGCAAGTCCTCTAAGGAGAGGAGGTCAACCAAAAGAATGGTTTAAGGCATGAAAGGGATTATGCCTTTGACTAGGAGGAACCCTCAAAAGAAAGTTAAAGCCATTTGTGCACAAACCCTACCTCACGCTTAAACAAAAACTTAAGGCCAAACAACCCTCAAAGCAAAAGGAAAAATGAAGAAATGAGGGAAGTGGAAGATATTCAGTGCTGAAATGGCATAACAAGTAATGCTAAAACATGCAACCAACATATGCACAACATGTCAAGGGCCAAGAGCATCAAAGCTAGTGAAGTGTATTACACTAGAAGCATGCATTGTCAAGCTCAAACTACCAAACCAGCTATGAACAGACCTAAAACATGCGAAAATAGTGGCCAAAATGTGCTGAGATGGTGGCATGAAAAGTAAGGAAATCATGTTCATGTGTTGGCTCATACACAAGGCATAAAGCACACCTCTCAAGAGTGATGAAAGAGTGGAATATGTGAGAGTGTGCCAAGGCTACATGCACTGAAATCATGTGTGAAATGATGCTATTACATGCAAACATCACAAACATAGCATGTTAAAGACCGTGAAACTCGAAGCTAGTCAAGGCCATTTGTACTATAGCTATACAAAGAAAGTCTCAAGGGACCAAGACCACTCAAAACATAGTTAAAGCATGTTAAAACATGAGCAAAAACATGCTGAGACAGAGCTAACAAAAGCTAGGATGATAGGCTAGAACATGAAGCATGTTAGGCTAACAAGCATGATTGCACTATAAGTACCAAGAGCAAGCAAGAGGTGACCCAACCAGCCAAAATCAGAGTTAAAGCAGGTCAAGAAAGTCACAAAAACAAGCTAAGATCAAGCCATGAGATGGTAGAAAAATATGCTCAAGTATGAGGCCATCAACACAAGCAAACGAGATACAAGAAGAGGGGATCACCCCCTCCTATTTGGGACCTCCAAACTAACTTTCTACCACTGAAATTCCCTTGGAATTCAGTGGTTAAAAGGCCAAGAAAAGGTGGTTTGAAAGGTGATGAAAGATGGCACAAAAAGCTATATAAGCTAAGAAACAAAAGGGAGAGACAACCCCCTAACTCACAAAGGCCTTAAACCACCATTTTTAGGCTTGAAATTGTGCAAGACACTTCTAAGAAGATCAAAGTTATTCAACAAAGGCTCAAGATGCCTCAGAGTCGACAAAAGAATTACGCGAATGTTCAGAGAAGACCTCTTGAGTATGAGGTTGATGATCATGTGTTTATTTGTGTGATTCCGATGAAGGGCCAGTTGAGGTTCGGTAAGAAGGGCAAATTGTCACCTCGCTACATTGGGCCATTTCAAAATTTGGAAAGACTTGGTCCAGTTGGTTATAGGATTGCTTTACCGCTGGGATTCGGACAAATGCATAATGTGTTTCATGTATCGATGTTGAGAGGTTATCTTCAAGATCCATTTCATGTGATTGATTACCATCGAACAGCTCTCGATGAAAATATGGAATACGAAGAATGGCCAGAACGAATCATTGACCAGCAAATGAAACAGTTGAGAAATAAGTCCATCCCAATGGTAAAGGTAGAGTGGAAAGAACGATATGAGAGGGACGCTACATGGGAAAAAGAGGATAAAATGCGACTACGCTACCCGCACTTGTTTACGAATGGAGGTAAAATATGTTTGGAGGACCAAACTTCCTAAAGGGGAGAAGATTGTGATAACCCTGCCTTATGTTAAGTTAATTAATCATGGTTATGTTGTGATTATGTGATTAATTTGAATTTGAGTGTTAATTGCATGATTAAATGTGATTTTGATCTTATATCTATTTACCGTAGGGAAATCTGTTCAACTTACTGTTGTAAACTGAAAATTGAAGGCCTTATTGGCCACAGAAACCGAAATTGACTGTTCCGTTGTGATTAGCGTAATTTTTAGAGCCTACGGTAAAATTTAATTGAAAATTTATTCAGATCAAAATAATTAGATTAAATTGATTAATTTAAGTTTGGTTAATTGGCCTTAATTAAGTTGATTAGCCAAGTGTGTATATAAAGGCCTAATTGCACTCATGCTCATTACTTATAAGCTCAAAAATCTAAAATAGCACTCTAGAGAGAGAGAGAGAGAGAGAGAACCGGTTTTGAGAGAGAGAGAAGGCATCTTTGTGGATTTTTGCAAGAATTCAAGGTTTGGAAGCTAAACTCAAGATCTATCTAGGAATTGGAGGATTTGAGCCTCTAGGTGAGTAATTATACATGAATTCCTGAGCTTGAGTTGTAATTATGTGAACTCAAAGAAAAATTTCAATCAAGAACATGAATTGAGTTGAATTTGGTGAATTTGAAGTCATTATAAGCATGCATGTAAAAGATTGCAATGAATTTGTGTATTTCAGCATGAAACATGTGATCCATGTTGAATTTTGGTGAAGATTCATGCCTTTGATCATCATTTACATCATTTAAGTTGAGAATGGGAGTTATATTCCACATGCAAGCACAATTCATAGAGGTATGAGTTTTGGTTGCATGAATTTGAAGTATTGAAGATGAATTTGGTATGAATTGTATATGCATGTAATTGATTCATGGGAATTGAGCTTCATAATGTTGTAAATTTAGTATTTGTATCATGTTAGAAGATGTACATATGAAATATGGGTCATAACATGCAAGTTACATTAATTTGAATGCAAGTTGGAAGCTCAAACAGCTTGCTAGAAATTTCATAATTTGTCGGGTCCGCTCGAGCGGGGAATGTGCCGCTCGTGCGTAAAATGTTAGCTCCCAGAAGTTGCAAATATTGATGTCCGCTCGAATTGGATGAGTCATGCTCAAGCACCCAGTCATATGTTTTGATTCTCAGCTCGAGCGTCCGAAGTCACGCTCGAGCACAAAAAAAGAGGTAACCAGTACTTTTGCAGACCAAAGGGGTCCGTTGGAGCGGCGAAAGCTGCGCTCGAGCGAATAGCCCTATTTCAGAAATTTTAAAAATGTGTTTTACGATTTGTTTTCCGTTCTCTTTCATTTCTAAGCACTCTTAGGCATGCATTGAACATTATAAATGAGTTAAAAACATAAGGAAGTAGCCTAAGAAAGATATATGAATTAAGAATGGATTGAATCGCTTGTGACCCATTACGTTTATGAAATGCGTAGGGTCAAACGCAAGGGCAAATCCACCGGTAGAACACTATAAGTAATATCTTAATAAAGATATTTTCAAGTACGTTATTTTCCACAACGTTACTTCTATGTGAGCCTTATGGGTTTGTACTTTGAATTATGAATGAACGGGTTGAATGACAGTCTTTTATACAAGACCAATTGAATACGAATGTGATTATAATCATGGGTATGACACACACACATGGATACAAATTTGGAAAAGAATAATTGGGCCAAAGGCCGTCTGACGTAAACGAATTGGGCCAAAGGCCGTTTGACATGAATGATTTGGCCAAAGGCCGTTGGATATGAATGATTGGGCCAAAGGCCATTTGATATGAATGATAGGCCAAAGGCAGTTTGACATGACTGATTGGGCCAAAGGCCGTTTGACAGAAACAAATTGGACCTAAGGTCGTTTGATGTATTAGATCGAATCATGAATGGGCCTAAGGCCGTACGATATGATTTCCATAATTTCATTCATGTACTCCTTTATTTCCCATATTATTCACAGGGCTATCGTTCACTCTCATTTATGTATGTGTAGGTGAGCAAAGAGATGTCCAAACCTAGCCCTAGTGGAAGGCATGAGGCGAGTCAATTTTTTGTGGGGAGTCAAGTTTTTGTGGAGTTAGCCCGATCTTCTCACGCATGGGACCTTGATTTGTTTCTTTTACTTTTGATTTCCCTTTTATTATTTTGGTGAATATGTTGGATCATCATGTACCTAAGCTTTTTGTTACACTGACTATATGTTTGAAAGGTTCTAGATACATGAAATGTTAATTTTGTCTATACGTGTGAGTTATTATGGAATGTTTGTTTTACCATGTAAGCAGAGCTCGTTGGACAAAATTTTTATGTCTGCTTCTGTTTTGGCCCCTTATTCTATTGAAAGTATGTTTGATTAGGTTTGAGGTCGTAGGTAATCCCTTGATTACTGGTTGGTTATGACCTTAACCCTTAGGGGCGGGTTCGGGTCATGACATGCCAAGTTTGAAATGAATCTGCAGACATATGCCAAGTGACCTTGGAGGCTTCTACATTCCTTCAGGTTTTTTGGTGGTGGCATCTTTTATATAGCATCAATTTTGGACTGATTAACCTCAATGCCTCTATGTTGAACAATAAAGCGAAGGAACTTTCCAGACATGACTCCAAATATGCATTTGAGTGGATTCATCTTCAAGTCATACTTTCTCAACCGATTGACCACTACACGATGGTCCTCCAGGTGATCTTCCATTTTCTTAGTTTTGACCACCAAATCATTAACATAGCACTCAACAAATTTATGGAGCATGTCGTCAAAGATCTTTTGCATAGCACGTTGATAAGTGGCATCAACATTCTTGAGTCCGAAAGGTATCACTTTATAACAATAGATGCCTTTTATGGTACGAAATGCGGTTAGCTCTTCATCCTTAGGTGCCATCCGTATTTGGTTGTATCCTGAACACCCATCCATGAAATCGTGTCCTGTAGTGGCGTTTATCCTTAATTCCATAATAGGAAGTGGAAAGTCATCCTTGGGACATGCTTCGTTTAAATTTTGAAAGTCGACACATATTCTAATTTGTCCATTCTTCTTGACTACCAGGACCATACTTGATATCCATGTCGGATATTTTACTTCACATATGAACCGAGCTTCAATCAACTTGTTGACTTTTTCTTCCACTTTGAGGATGCACTCAGGTTTGATGTATCGATGAGCCAGCTTTATTGGTTACATACCATGTTTGATCCCAATGTGATGGACAACAACTTTTGAACTTAAACCTGGCATCTTCTTTGGCATCTCCTTGTACGTCCATGAGAAGACATCATTAAAAAAATGTCTTTTACTCTTTAGGCGTTAAGAGTGTTCCTACAAAGATTGGTCGAGGGTCATCAGGAGTTCCCAAGTTGAGTTCTTTCAAATTGTCAATAGTTGATTGCCCCTCCATCTTTAAGTTCTGGAGGAGTTTCTTGGAGATCATCATCCTCTGAATCTGAGCTAGAATCTTCTTCAATTGTTACATGGTGAGAAACAACATTTTCAATTTCTTATTCTCTTTTATTTTCCACCTGAGTCTTAATTTCTCCAGTTAGTATGAGAGTGTGCCTTTTGACCTTAAGTAGACTTTCAACACTAACTTCAAATGACGTCATGCGTTTCATGCGAGAAGGAATCAAACTTCGAGTCTCATCATGCTCCTTTGTAGAATTCAACTCAATTGTTGTTGTGCTTCTCTTGTTCTTGCCTTTTCTAGGTGAAGTATTCATATCGCCAAGTTGAGCAAAAATGGACTTTTCTGACTAGAAAGTGTGTTTTTCATCTCCTTCCTTTGTAGTGCCTAATTTGTTAAAAACTGAAGGTTAAGAAGTCGTACCTTCATCTGTCTTATCAATAGTGCTCAACCTATTAAAAACCAAGGTTCGAGGTGTAGGAGCTTCAATGCGGTCAAACACTAAGACTCGAGGAGTTGGGCTTGGACTTTATCTTCCTTCACTTCTTCCACAGTGATATGTTGTACGTCTTCCTTCTTTCATTTTCTCTTGGCAGAGATACGAATGGGTTCAGTTGGTATGAATCTAATTATAGTCTTTGGAGGGCTCACCCAGTATCCTTGTTGCCTTACCTTTTTTTGAGTTTCATTGAGACCATGAACTTTCTCACCTGTAAGTTCAGGACTTAACTCTCTCAGTGATGAAGGATCAGCAAAGTCATAACCTGACTTGGCTAGAAGCTTGTAAGCTTGTCGATCAAACCCTTCCATTCGTCTTTCGAGTAAAAATTCGTGTTTGATAGAATTTTGCACAGGCCTAACATATCCCTTTAGTGGAGGTTTAGTTAGGCTTGACAATCCCACCTGTGGAATTGGTATTGTTGCATCTGCTTTTAGTATCTGTAGATCTTCTTTTATTGCTAGGTGAGCAAGGTCTCCTCTAACTTTTGCAGATGTCGTGACTGCTTCAAATGGTGATTGTCCTTTTTTCGTTGAGACTTCGGCACATACCTGAAGACTTTTTTCATTACATGGCCTTTTGAGGATGAAGACTATTTTTGTGGTGACGCGACCTCGGATGCTTTTTTGCCGCTTGATGTGTCTTCCATTGAAAAGTCCAACACAACTTGCTTTTCTCCATTTATTTTCTCTTTTCTTGCAGAAAGGATTTCAGCTGTGATAACTTCAGGTATCCCATTGGAATCTAGATAAAATTTTGCATCAGTGAAGTGAGTCTCAGTTTCTGTAAATGGTTTATCATTTGCTAGCACCGTCTTTATTCCACTTTGGTCAAGTTTAAAACACTTTTGTGATTTCCAAGGGCCTAACTAGAAAATTAGTCCCTTAGAAATAAATACACCGGTGATAAAGGGGAGTGACAAACAAAAGGTTGTGTTTGGCATAAGAAAGATGTGATGCCTTGGTAATGAACCTCCGAAGAGATTAAACTATTAATCATGGAAGGGATCTTTCTTATGCTTGAACAACACCCTTTTGTTAAACACAACTCTTTAATAATAAAAAAAAAAAAACAAAGAATGGGGGAGGTTGCAGAGATGATTATGCAAAGTTGATTATTACAAAAGTGGGACTCTTTACATGAAAACTAGATAAAGAACGCTATCAACTCGAATGACTCGATGTCTAAGGCCTAAACAACTGAAACCATGAGGACTTACAACACAACAAGCAAAGTATTTAAAGCATAAACTAATTAAATGAATTAAAAGAGCCCTTAAACAGCCCCTCTTGAAGAGTGAAAGTTTTTGTTGTAAACCAAACTCACTCCTAAGGCACTCTTAAGTTTGAATTATGGTTTTAAAGTCTTAACCAAGGCTCCAAGATTAAGCTCTAAGGGTGTATATGGTGTATGTATATGATTTAAGGATGATATAAGGACACAAAGCTAGCTTGCAAAGGAAGAAGGAGCTCTCAAAGGTCTTTTTAGCTCTTGGAAATTTCTCAAACCCTCAACACAGAGGCATCAACTCGTATTTATAGAATTTGAGCTAAATAGGTCACAAACATCTTCAAAAATAGACAGCTAGTGGATTCCTGCCCAGAATAGTGTTTATCACCCAAAAGGCATGGCTGAGCTCTAATGGCCACGGCCGGCCCTAAATAAGGCACGGCCGGACCCCAATGTGGCTCCACTCTTCCTCTGTTTCACGCTCAATTTTGGTTGGCACAGTGCTCAAAAATGAATTTTTGAGGTAAAAACAATGTGGGTATAGAAGGTTGGAATTGTTTAGAGCTCAAATTTGGATTCCTTCGGTGAGAATTCAAACCAATGACACAATGTACTTTCATCATCGATCGCCCAGAATAAAGCGCCCAAGTCTTGTCGGCGGTCAAAAATGGGGTGTCTACAAACGCGTATCTAACTCTTCAAATGTTCGTGGTTTACCCCTTAAAGGATGTAAATGAGTCCCTAGTGCATGCCTTGCGTGTACATCTCCACAGTTGAGATCTCAGAGAGTCGGTCTTTGCAATCTAGACTTAGAGCACGTCAATAGTTGATGTAGTCTACCATTGGCTCGTCCATCCATTTCTTGGTGGAGGTTAATTCGATCATACTTACCATACGACGGGTGCTATAGAAACAATTAAGGAATTCATGTTCCATTTGCTCCCAACTGTTGATTGACTCAGCCTCCAAATCAATGTACCAGTCAAAGGCATTTCCTTTGAGTGACTGAACAAATTGTTTGACAAGTAGATCTCTGTCTGTCCTAGCATTGTTATAAGTCTCAACAAAGTGAGCGACATGTTGTTTAGGATTACCTTTTCCGTCGAACTGCTGAAACTTGGGAGGTTGGTATCCACTAGGCATTCTAAGAATGTTTATCCTCTTTGTGTAAGGCTTGGAGTACATGAAAGCACTTTGCGAGGGCCCATTGTATTGTGCTCAGATGGTATTTGCAGTCATGTCTTGGAGTTGTTGAATAGAAAAAGAAGCAATAGATGTTGGTTGACTACTTGTGCCAATCGCTTGCCTCACAACAGATGTATGGAAAGTTTGCTTACCAACAACTTGCTTGGAATTAGATATAAGGTTCACCTTCTCGACAAACGTGGCTTATGGTGTAAAGCTAGGTGGATGAGAATTGTCTTGACTTGCCTCGTCAGCATTTCGTGCTTCCAACTTGTTCATCAAGGTGGCAATCTAAAGATCTTTCTCTTCCACGGTTTTGGTGAGCTTGTCAATGGCACGAGCCATGGTCGCCAATTGTTCTTCCACTGAAGTGGTACCAAAGGTCATGACTTGCATAGCCACCAAACGAGACAAATCTGAGTGATTCGATGTGATTGAACTTTAAGGACTATTAGGAGATGATCTTGAGTGTGAGCTTGTACTTGAGTTTGCATCAGAAACTACAGGTGTTGGGTGTAGGAAGAAACCTTCTGGCAAAGAATCCTTTGAGACAGAAGTGGAATTCTTCCATTCCCTCTATTCCTTTTGCTTAGCCCCAGACATGGATACCGTGATAGATTTGTGAGACTTTCCTTGCACTTGATTTGTTGCATTGGTGGTCGGCATGACCCCGTGAGTGGCGAGAGCAATGGTAGCCTTGGTCTTGCTACGGGTGATCGGACTCGTAGAAGTGTTGTTGTTGTTGTTGGTCACGACAGCGGCATTTTTCCAGGCGTTCTTATTGATCGGAGCAATTTGAACTTTATTTGAAGCCATTATGCTTGATCAAACAAGGCTCCAAGAAGATGTTTTAGGAGAAAGAGATGTGAGGCAGAAAGGTCCCACTGGGTGTGCCAAAATTTGTAAACACAAATTTCGTATCCTGCAATTAAGACATGGAATAAATGCACAAAAAATTAATTTTATTTGATTAAAATAAATGGGTACAATCCTCTGTAGTTTCCTCTATTACAAAAGAGTGGATCCTCTTATTCGATCTCCAAAATGAGCGTAATTCAACAGCTGTAAAAGTTTGTTGTTGAACTAGACAAGATGAATTTCTTCAAGTCTTCGAATGGAGAAACTTGGAGAAGACCAAATTTTTGAAAGAGTGCTTGATTGAGGGGTTGAACGACTTGATCTTGAACGATTCTTGAAATGATATTTTTGAAAGAGAGACCAAATTTGTATTTGTAACTTGAAAGCATTGGCACAAGTTTGGAGTGCTTGATAATCCTTTCTTTCAAGTTTGAGGCACTTTAGAGAAAATTTTAAGAAGAGAATTTCACAGTCTTCAGATCACTTAGGAGCTTGCAAGACCTTGTGCCAAAAAAATGTCCCTATCCTCATCGTGAGAGCCTCTATTTATAGGCTTGGGAGAGAATGATCAATTTTGGAAAAATCCAAAATTAATTTTAATTTCCAAGAAAATAGCAATTTCTTTCTTATTTTATGGGCATAATTTGCATTCAAATTTAAAATTTGAATTATTCTACTAAATTTTGATAAAATATTTTCATGGGCCCCACATATTTAGGTTGACCCAATTGTCAAACTAGATTCACTTTTCTTTTAGTATGACCCATAATTTGAAATGGGTTAACATCTATAATTTTAGTAGGACCTACATCTATTTGAAAAATTTGACCATCTTAATTTTGATTAATCAAGAAAATTTATTTGTCTTCATTAATCAGACAG